ATTTACCATATAAATATTGTTTTTGGAGTATATTATTTCAAGTTTTTTGACATATGTTGTAATTAATTTGTAGTAATTTATTTATTATTGTAATTTAGCTACTTTTTTTTTTCTACATCGTTCAGTTGGAGACTCTAAATAAGCCCTTTGGATTTTCTTCCTGCACAGTATATGGATTTTACTTTTTTGTTGTGTTAAGCCCTTCGTGCAAAATAAATAAATTACAGAAACTTTATATAATAAAAAAAAAAAAAAAACCTCTTTGACTTTCATATCATAGTTGTCTATAGAGCTGCAGGAACAAGCACCAAAGTAAACCGAGAGCTAGATATTATATCAAACAATAAATCAGTACTTGTTAACTCCACCATAAAATAAACACCTATTATAACGAAATTACCTCTGTTTGCACATTAAACAATCACAAGACACATTTATGACATCTATTTGTTATATTCAGCATTACAGTGGAAACTCTCGTTCAGTGTGACTGTGGTGGCTCTTAAAAGAGCCTTTGGGGTGTACTGCGGCTGCTGCAGCGGCGGGGTTTAGCGCGCTCTCCGCGGATGCGGCGGGCCAGCTGGATGTCTTTGGGCATGATGGTGACTCTCTTGGCGTGGATGGCGCACAGGTTGGTGTCCTCAAACAGACCGACCAAATAAGCCTCGCTGGCCTCCTGCAGGGCCATGACAGCGGAGCTCTGGAAGCGCAGGTCCGTCTTGAAATCCTGAGCGATTTCTCGCACCAGACGCTGGAAAGGCAGTTTGCGGATCAGCAGCTCGGTGGACTTCTGATAGCGGCGGATCTCTCGGAGAGCCACGGTCCCGGGCCTGTAACGATGGGGCTTCTTGACGCCGCCGGTGGCTGGGGCGCTCTTCCGGGCGGCTTTAGTAGCGAGCTGCTTTCTCGGGGCTTTGCCGCCGGTGGATTTACGAGCGGTCTGCTTGGTTCTTGCCATTGCTGAGATCTACTTCTGTCTCTGCTCTGGAGTGAGTAGGAAATGCTGCTGTATGTTACGCGCCTGCTTTTAAAGCATCGTACGGCCACAGCTTATGGCGTCATAACGGTGCAGAGGCTTGTGGTTGGCTGATATGTGACGTCTGCGCATGACTGCTAGCCAATGACTGCGCACCTCCTATTTTCAAATAGAGCGGTTTGTTTCCCGCTCAAAATGCTTTGTTTGTTTATTATTTTATGCATCAAACACATACACTAATACACTCTTTACAAGTTTTCTACTAACATTGTTTTATATAATCCTTGTGAAATATTAATTTATCATTTGGTTTAAATGTATTCCTTGGGCTTAAATAGTCTCCAGCAGTTGATAGTATTTGCTGTTACTCACACTTAACAATTGTACAGTATACTTATTTGGTTGATCTATTAAAGCTGTTGATGTAAATATATATGAATAACTGGCTTTTCTAAATACACAGTCAACATATAAATCATTGAGTCGAGGTAAACTCAGATACACTCCTCTATTTTATCTTTTTGTCACCTTTTTTATTTGCACCGTATACTTCAGATTTTAGGCATACTCTGCCATCTTGCTGTCTACAAAAGTTTTCTGTTGACACTGAACTTGTGGGTCTAATCAAACAAAATAATGATTTGGACAATAGAAGAGAGGTTCAGCTTTTTGTTATATGGCGTGATGGTTTTTTATTTATTAATTTTTTTCCACACTGGCATACCCTTTCTACAGGAAGTTTTTTTTTTAGTTCAATACGTCTTAGTAAGATTAGATTGAAATGCTCCAAACATATAATGCAGTGATTGAGAGCTGAAGAAATAAAGGCTCCTCAGAAGATGTGAGATGTTCTGGAGGCTTGTGAAGATCATTCCTCCGCTGAGGAACAGTGAAAGCTTCCACTCATTATAGGCTGCGAAATATCTACGTTTGTAATAGAGAAATAATGAACTAATGAGCTCCGCTCTACTGTATTTAAAAGAGCGTGCGAGTCGCCCATTGGTTTAGAGTCTGTAAGATTTCAAACCAATCACTGAACTTCCCTCAAACACTGACCGCCGAAGCCACGCCTCCACAGCTGGCGGTCGGATTGTGCAGCGTTAAGAAACAACGCGACAGAAAACAAGGAAGAAATTGTGACGGTGTGCTAAAGTAGTTCAAAATAATTGCCACGGCAAAAATCATTTAAACTAATGTTTTTACCCTAATTAAATTAAGATATATGATCTATTAAAGCTGTTGATGTAAATATATATGAATAACTGGCTTTTCTAAATACACAGTCAACATGTAAATCATTGAGTCGAGGTAAACTCAGATACACTCCTCTATTTTATCTTTTTGTCACCTTTTTTGTTTGCACCGTATACTTCAGATGTTCTGGAGGCTTGTGAAGATCATTCCTCCGCTGAGGAACAGTGAAAGTAAAGCTTCTGGAAACAAACGCTCCTCAAAAGATCCTGATGATCTGAAGGTTGTTAGATCATGATAATTAAGATCCAGATCCTATCAGAAAATATCTGTTGTGTCTGGTAACAGAACTAGTCAGCAGACTAATCTAATACCTAGAACCCGTTAACAGCAAGTCTTGTCTGGTACCCAAAATACCCAAAACTGTATTAACAGTCTTCAATCAGCTGAGAAGTTGACTGAGCAAAGCCAGAGAAGAGCAGAAGCAGGAGACGGAGTGATGATAAAAAGGAGCAGAGTTTACGGAATAATCTCAGTTGTGTATGACTTCGTCTGACCAGCTCACATCCAACAAGTGCTATTATTCCAAACGGCTATTTAAAATATTAGTAAGCTTAATATATATAACATCATCATTTATTGGGTACATTCTTTTAAAAAGTCAAGTAAAAAAAAATAAAAAAAAATATTTATTTTATATTTTCTTTGTAAATTATGAAACTTTATTTAAAAACATGTGTCCTGCATTTCCATGTCACTACCGAAACTGAGACTGAAGACTGAAATTAACAACAGTCCTACATTTATGATCAGGACATATTTATGTGTCTCTCTCATAGCTACAGGTAGATAGCAGATAGGCCCCATCATTTTAATGTAAATGTGTTCAAAAGTATGAAAAATCTGTGTGTAACTGTAAGGAATGTCACTACCGAACAACTTTTTTCTGCAATTAAGCACACTTTTTTGGGAGTCATTCCATATGATTTAATGTTTATGTGTGTACAACTGTTCAGAACTGTGCTAGCTAACCATGTGCTGATTAGCATCTTTGAGATGGGTTCAGAGGTACCTGAAATTGTCACTACCGAAACATGTCATCATTGTAGTGACAAAAGGGAACACGTTATCCTCATGTTTGGGAGAAATAAACACAATTATAGTACAGTTATTAATTTTTTAGTATGTTTTATTAGTGTTTTAGTATGCAAGTTAAAATTCAGTAATGTGATGTGGTCGCTACCAAAGCATTACTGTCACTACCGAAACATGGGGTGTTTTGTCAAAAATATGAATATCAACTAATAATCAATAATCAACTATATATGAATCATCATCTAAGGTATTATGATAGTTTTTGGTTCAATGCATATTCAAACCAATTAATCCTTAACTTTGAAATCAGTATGATCTACTTTTCGCCTTTTACAAAAAATAAAAAAAAGGATTCAAAATACAACAAATATCATAAATTACACTTGAAATATTGTTAAAAATGTAATTGTTATTGATTTACCTCTGAAAAAAACATATACTGTATATATATATATATGTGAGTAATATAAATAACTAATCAATTAATGAATCAATAAAATTAGTATATAAATGGTTAATAATTATTCTAATTTATATCATAAATGAATATATGAAGATTAAATTAATATAAAAGAAAGAAAGAAAGAAAGAAAGTAAAAAATATTGTTAAAAATGTAATTGTTATTGATTTACCTCTGAAAAAAACATATACTGTATATATATATATATATGTGAGTAATATAAATAACTAATCAATTAATGAATCAATAAAATTAGTATATAAATGGTTAATAATTATTCTAATTTATATCATAAATGAATATATGAAGATTAAATTAATATAAAAGAAAGAAAGAAAGAAAGAAAGTAAAACAACACAAATGTATGGTTGCATTTGAGGACACGTGATCCTTCAAGGAGGAGATTTGTACAACTATACTAATTACTTGCTAAGAAACCGTCGAAACTATCAATCAGATGACCGACATGCAGAAGTCAGCACAGTTTAGATCATGTTTAGAGCAAAGGTGCATATCAAACATGATACAGTAGATTTAGAGGGTTATAGTGGTAATTTACCTAAAATGATTTTAATAATTTACTTGTCCTAATGTTCTTCCAAACCCTCATTACCTGATTGCTTCTGTGGAACATAGAAAACTTATTTTTCAGCTGAAAAATAAATAAATAAACAAATAAATAATGGAATGGTTCAGTGTTGAGAAGGCGATGAAGTGATTTGACTGAGCAAAATAAACAGGACCAGACCATCTATGGGTTTCAATCTGGCCGTGATTTTCATTCAAACTCAACAATAATCCATTATCCACATAGAAAGAAAGAAAGAAATCACAGACAGACTCGAAGTGTCCGGATGTTCGTGCTTCAAGCTGCCCAAAACAACATCTGTATGAAACACTGCACACGCCCTTCACTGATGCTCATTTCATTAAATTCACTTTCAAACTGTTTCTGAAACACACAGAGGACGAGTTTAATCTTTTATCAGCTTTTCCACTTAAACGAGGCATTAAATGCACACGCGGCTTTGTTCCGTGGCTGATGCTCGCCTTGAGTTTGATCTGACCGGGGCAAAACAAACATTTCCTCGCCGCGTGTTTTAGTCTCCACAGAAAGCCAAGAACCTCTGCTTGGTGTTCACTTTGTTTCTACTGCGCCAAACTATTTTAGCACTCGAGTTTTGCCCTTAAATGTAGGAGAAGAAAACACAAGCGCGAGCGGCTCGCAGACACAGAGCGGGCAGGTTGAGTCTATAAGGTTCTCATGTGTTAAATAAGAGCGCAGCGCCGCTCAACTGCTGCTCATTGCTTAACCTAGAGAGCGTCTGATTTACTGTAAATCTACACAGAGAGAGAGAGAGAGATGGCAGAAACAGCCCCAACTGCTGCCGCCCCGCCGGCAAAAGCACCCAAGAAGAAGTTTGCAGCTAAAGCCAAGAAAGCAGGTCCAGCTGTCGGTGATCTGATCGTTAAAGCCGTGTCTGCGTCCAAGGAGAGGAGCGGCGTGTCTCTCGCAGCCCTGAAGAAAGCTCTCGCTGCCGGCGGCTACGACGTGGAGAAGAAAAACTCCCGCATCAAGCTCGCCATCAAGAGCCTGGTGACTAAAGGCACCCTGGTGCAGGTCAAAGGAACCGGCGCCTCCGGCTCCTTCAAGCTCAACAAGCAGCAAACCGAGACCAAGAAGAAGCCGGCGAAGAAAGCGGCTCCTAAAGCGAAGAAGCCCGCGGCCAAGAAACCCGCTGCTGCCAAGAAGCCCAAGAGCGCAGCGGCAAAGAAGCCCGCCGCTAAGAAATCGCCCAAGAAGGCCAAGAAACCCGCTGCAGCCGCTAAGAAGACGACGAGGAGCCCCAAGAAGGCAAAGAAGCCCGCAGCGCCTAAGAAAGCAGCCAAGAGCCCCAAAAAGGCCAAGACTGCCAAACCCAAGGCGGCAAAGCCTAACGCTGCCAAGCCTAAAAAGGCAGCTCCCAAGAAGAAGTAAAAACACTTTTATTCCCCAACGGCTCTTTTCAGAGCCACCCACTAACTCTAAAGAAAGAGCAATTCACTTTGTGGAAGTAAGGTTAGGTTAAGAAACGTAACTAATTGTACTTTACAAACAACACAATAAATAAAACAACAGACACAACATCACACTCCATCAACAACTCATTCACCAGCGTTGTAAACTGCAGGCAACACAATAAATAACAGCAATAACACAACAACACAATTATTTCATATACACATCGTTCTGTAGAACACAGGCTTTACTAATCTCCCACTAAATTAACTCTGAAGTACTAAAAACACCATCTAGTGGTCCTTCATAGAACTACACCAAATACACAAAATAATGTTCTTTTTAGCAGCATCATATGACCCCTTTAATCCTTTTCTTATCATCCACAGTGATATTAGCTCCCAGCAGAGCACTGCATAGAACAGAAGACATAAGAAGCTTTAATGACAAAGGAATTTAACCTCCTCAAAAATAATAATCCTGACTCTGGTTTCTTAAAGACGACCTCACTGTACTTTCTCCAGTTTAATTTACCGTCCAAATGGATGCCAATATATTTATAAGACTGAACTATTTCTATCTTCTGACCATAGATTGTCACCGCTATTACTGCTTCCTTATGTCTTCGGAAATCAATGATCAACTCCTTAGTCTTCTCCACATTAAAAAATTTAAAAAAAAAAAAAATCATCACCATATAACAAAAAGCTGAACCTCTCTTCTATTGTCCAAATCATTATTTTGTTTGATTAGACCCACAAGTTCAGTGTCATCAGAAAACTTTTGTAGACAGTAAGATGGCAGAGTATGCCTAAAATCTGAAGTATACGGTGCAAACAAAAAAGGTGACAAAAAGATAAAATAGAGGAGTGTATCTGAGTTTACCTCGACTCAATGATTTACATGTTGACTGTGTATTTAGAAAAGCCAGTTATTCATATATATTTACATCAACTTATCAACCAAATAAATATACTGTACAATTGTTAAGTGTGAGTAACTGTAAATACTGTCAACTGCTGGAGACTATTTAAGCCCAAGGAATACATTTAAACCAAATGATAAATTAATATTTCACAAGGATTATATAAAACAATGTTAGTAGAAAACTTGTAAAGAGTGTATTAGTGTATGTGCTTGATGCATAAAATAATAAACAACAAAGCATTTTGAGCGGGAAACAAACGGCTCTATTTGAAAATAGGAGGTGCGCAGTCATTGGCTAGCAGTCATACACAGACGTCACACATCAGCCAATCACAAGCCTCTACACCGTTATGACGCCATAAGCTGTGGCCGTACGATGTTTTAAAGGCAGGCGCGTAACATACAGCAGCATTTTCTACTCACTCCAGAGCAGAGACAGAAGTAAATCTCGGCAATGGCAAGAACCAAGCAGACCGCTCGTAAATCCACCGGCGGCAAAGCCCCGAGGAAGCAGCTCGCTACTAAAGCCGCCCGGAAGAGCGCCCCAGCCACCGGCGGCGTCAAGAAGCCCCATCGTTACAGGCCCGGGACCGTGGCTCTCCGAGAGATCCGCCGCTATCAGAAGTCCACCGAGCTGCTGATCCGCAAACTGCCTTTCCAGCGTCTGGTGCGAGAAATCGCTCAGGATTTCAAGACGGACCTGCGCTTCCAGAGCTCCGCTGTCATGGCCCTGCAGGAGGCCAGCGAGGCTTATTTGGTCGGTCTGTTTGAGGACACCAACCTGTGCGCCATCCACGCCAAGAGAGTCACCATCATGCCCAAAGACATCCAGCTGGCCCGCCGCATCCGCGGAGAGCGCGCTTAAACCCGCCGCTGCAGCAGCCGCAGTACACCCCAAAGGCTCTTTTAAGAGCCACCACAGTCACACTGAATGAGAGTTTCCACTGTAACGCTGAATATATCAAAAAATAACATGGCCTTTGAAGGAATGCTGTCTAGGTCTTTTTATTGCGTTTGAACAGTTTGTTACCCGTTACTACAAAGAACACCCACATAACAGATGTGTAACTGTTAGTTACTAACTGTTCTGTAATGACATTAGCTTCTATGTGAATATATCAAAAAAATAACATGGCCTTTGAAGGAATGCTGTCTAGGTCTTTTTATTGCGTTTGAACAGTTTGTTACCCGTTACTACAAAGAACACCCACATAACAGATGTGTAACTGTTAGTTACTAACTGTTCTGTAATGACATTAGCTTCTATGTAAATAAAACAATAATAAAATAACACTTATATGCATGTGTATATAATACATCCAAGTGCAAATACATAAATATTAAGTTCATTATTTTATTATAAATTGTATCTGTAGCTGTTTACTTTGGTAGACAATGATGAAATGAAAGCCAAAGCGGCTTATTTAGAGTCTCCTCCTAAACGATGTAGAAAACAAACAGAAACCACTCATGAAATAAAAAAAAACGAGCTAATTTACAATAACAAATACATAAATATAAATAATTTCTCTAGAATTTTCCTTTAACCATGTTTCAAAACCATTTGCCTTGTTTTGGTGGATTTTGGATAGGTGGATGAACAATAAGCTTGTCGTACTTCAGATATGCCTTCATTGCTGGAAGTAATTCACTCCTTCCAGATATTCTGTTTTGTCTGAAATTGTGATCAGACTTTAGCAGATTGTGTCCAGATCTGTCCCGGTTTTATTACAATTCGAAGGCCACGTCTTACATGAGATTTTAAGGTCATCCTTCGTTTTGAGTCATTTCTCGACTCATCTTAAAATCATAGACTTGCTTTGACAGGTCATCAATCCTCCTGTTTGAAGAATCAACTATGATTTCTACACAAGTTTGAAACTTCTTTCTTGTTGTCGGAGCAAGGTTCTGTAGAAGTCTCTTTGCTGTTGCAGCAGTTCACAGACTTGCGCCGCAGTAACATATTTCTCTGCTGCTGTTTGTATGGTTTGGGCAACACGGCCTGTTTGGCCCAAAGATCTCCTGAAGCCAAAACCTCCACAAAGTACAATTAAAGTCCGCAATTTTGCAATTTAAAGTAGATTAGACTGTTCTTAGCTCAATCTTTTGAAGTGTTGTTAGTGATTATGCTGTGGTTGAAAATAAACCCCCATTTGAAAAAGTAAAGTGTAATACTAGTGTATGTTTCACCGAAATTATAAGTATGTTCATGTCTGAGTCCAAAACTGATTTTTGTTATCCTATTTTTATTTATATTATATATGTTTTGTATTTTCACTGTCGTTCTCTCTGTGCTGTGGAAGTTTCTATCATTAAAACATTGCGTGTAAACATACCTGACAATAAAACTCTCCTTCAGATTTATATTCTGACTCTGAAAAGTGGAGCTTGTATGATATATATTGCTGTCAGAGGCGCACACAATGAGAGCATCTGTCTTTTTTTTCTTACGTTTTAATTTGCGTGTTTAGCCTTCCTTTGAATTAAAGTGATTTATAAAATAGAGTTTTTTTTTTTTATGGAATGTATTTTGACAAATTTATTTTATATTTAGAAATGTTGACCACTCCATACAGACGGACGATTTAAAACAAGTTACTAATAACATAAATGGACTAAGTATCTTATGTCTGCTGTAGGTGACTTTTCAGATTTGGAAAAATCTGTTTAGTTGACTAGTTTATAGAAATATGTCTTTTTAATTTGGTTAAATAAGTACTTGATTCAGATTTATTGTCTATGTAACTTGTTTTATGCAGTTTGTTAGTGTTTTGAAGTGTTCAGCCTTCATCACAAATTGCTTAATAGCATTATTGTAGATGAAGTATAGATTATTTAATAGCTCATCTGACACAATAGTTGTCAATGTTTATCCAAAGCTAGAAATAAACAGTATTTTACGCGTTTGAGTCGCCCTCTGCCGCCAGTAAAGCCTCATTACAACTCGGCTGTTTTTCTAGACATGTTATATAAACACACAAGGCCTTTCCAAATAGCAAGGCTTTAAAAAATTCCACAACTGATACAACAAATGTTTGTTTGTTTGTTTATTTTCACAAGTAAACAGCTACATACATAGGGGCTATAAACTAAGAGTCTAATGATAAGACTCTAAAAAGTTTATGTACTGCATCCAAAATCGCATAATGTGCTGTAAATGTGTTCACCCTCAGTTCATCTGAGATCAGGATGAGTTTGTTTCTTCATCAGGTTTGTAGAAATGTAGCATTGCATCAGTGTCTCAGCAATGGATGCTCTGCAGTGAATGGGTGCCGTCAGAATGAGAGTCCAAACAGCTGATAAAAACATCACAATAATCCACAAGTAATCCACAGCACTCCAGTCCATCAGTTAACATCTGGAGAAGACAAAAGCTGAGACACATCCAGCATTAAGACGCTTTTAACTTCAAGTTTGAGCTTGAAGTGTACACTGAATGTATCAACTAAATATAATAATAATAATAAGCTGTCGATCCCTGTATTTTATCTTGTGTTATTCAAGTTGAAGAAACATACATGTTAAATTAAATTTTTTTTATTTTTTATTTTTTTGGTACTCGCTTGATTTCTGGTTCAAGAGAAACAAAACATTTGCGAGTTAAATACCTGCATATGCATTAGAAAAAAATCATATTTAACATGAAAAGATTTGTAATGATGCATTTAAGGATTCATATCATGCAGACACATTATGATTATATGATAATTAGGGTCAACATGTTACGGTTATAATATTTTGATTGAATGGTTAATATAATTGTATATACGTTTCTGGTTCATTCATGTTCACTAAAAGTTATATCTATATATCTTTGTATACAATACTTTCCCACTGGCTGTCAGTGTGGGCTTACTTCATGTTACAGTCAAAGATGTTAACTGCAAGGTTACACTGAACTGTGATCAGTGGTAATTAAAGTAAGTATCATTACTACACATGTGTCTCAGATATGTACTGTCGTGTGTGAGGTTTCACTGGCTTCTGGTCTCTAGATAGCAGCACGTGTGCGGCGTGTGGACATTCACACACATGTGCTATGCATCTGCTAACATGAGCTCAAACCACTGCATGAGCAGAATGCAGTGTGCTGCACAGTGATGCACAGCCAGGATTGTAATGACTTATTTGGTCAGACCCAAATTCTGACACAAAACTGGATTGAAAATGCAAAATAATTCATTTCCAAGATTATAACTGCACACCACTGGCTGAACTAAACATGCCATGTCTTGTTTGACATATTTGTTTTTGCATAAATGAAATGATAAGCAGCAATCCATTC